TAGGGGATCAATAAAGTATATCTAAAAAAAACAATACATTAACCATCACTGTAGCATATGATAAACCTTACAGTAAAGGCGTCAATTAATAAATAACAAAGGTCTAATCATTCTCATTACAAACGTTCTGATCAGTCAGGAACAGGCATAGTTTCAAATGTTGTATAAATTTCATAAATAAAGTCATTTTTATATACAGTATGTGATTATGTATTATAAATATAATGTCCTTTACAGACGATGTGGGCTAAAACACACAAGATTTGGTCAGATTTACTACTCTTTGACACCCTCCAGACAATCCTGGATTAAACACTGTTCATTCTGTCATTCAATTACATTCAGAATAAATTACTCAGTTAATTCAGTTAACACTTTTCTTTCAGAAAATGATGAAAGATAACAACCTGGTCCGCCACCTGGATGCCTGTGAGACAATGGGCAATGCTACGGCCATCTGCTCCGACAAGACAGGCACTCTCACAATGAACCGCATGACAGTGGTGCAGACCTACATCGCAGGACACTACTACAAAAAGGTGCCAGAGTCGGACCTGATTCCTGCCAAGATAATGGAACTGCTCGTCACAGGCATCGGGGTCAACTGCGCCTATACCACCAAGATTATGGTGAGCTGCAAAAATAGCCATCCATTCAGGAAGCTTTGTGAGTTAAGCATTTGGCCTAGAGCAGGTTGGTTTGGAGAGCTGCCACAGCAGCTCAAGACTCATCTGATCACTGCCTCCTGGATCCACTGCAGAGATCAGATCACAGAGTAGACAAACAAGTATTTTATTTATCAGATAAAACCCGCTGCAGTGACTGTCTTCAAGCAAGCATTTTCATTATCAGTTAGTGACAGTTATTTTCTGGATTAACAAATTTATTGTTTAGTGGTTCCCAGCCTGGGGTTTGGGACCCCCTAATGGGTCACCTAATAAAACTAAGGGATCATGAGATAACAAAAACAACAAAATATACAAGAAAGACAAAGCATTACTGCTACACAAAATGTCTGCAAAGGTCAAGTCAGCCAGATCAGCCCCAAGAATCTGGATGAAGCAGCTGACAGTGTTTTTTGATATAAGCTACCTAGCAATTTGTCCACGTGCATCACAATATATTTCACAAGCTTTGCAGTAATGTTAGCTTCGACTTTGGTCTTTGTGTTGGACTCGGTCATTTGTAGATGTTAGGGGACTCCATTTATAAGCTAACGTAGCTGTTTACACTGTAGTGAAGCAAAGAGAGAAGGACGCGCATAAATGTTACATCTAAATCAGTCCAAAGGCAACTGAGAAAGTTGGAGAAGGTCTCATTTTGAACTTACGTGACATCCCATTCACTAATTGGCAGTAAAAAGTGTTTAATAAATACAATTAACAGTAAAATGCTTCATAATCTTACATATGGAACATTTAACCTTAGGGTTAGGGTTACCTGTGTTTGTTGAAACTCATCGCTGCTATTGGATTTATGTTATTGTCATATTCCTGCAGCCTCCAGAAAAGGAGGGTGGGCTGGCTCGCCAGGTGGGAAACAAGACTGAATGTGCCTTACTGGGACTCACCCTCAAACTGCACCGAGACTACCAGACTGTCCGCAACGAAATCCCGGAAGAGAAGCTGTTCAAGGTCTACACCTTCAACTCTGTGAGGAAGTCCATGAGCACTGTGCTAAAGATGCATGACGGCAGCTACCGAATGTACAGCAAAGGGGCCTCTGAGATCCTGCTCAGGAAGTACGTTTCATGCTGCTGCTGCTGCTTCTCGCCCAACTCTGTGCTCAGTTACATGATGATCACATGACTCTTTACTTTGGTTGCAGGTGCTGTAAGATCCTGACGGCCAACAGCGAGGCCAAAGCGTTTAAACCTCGGGACCGAGATGACCTGGTGAAAAAGGTGATTGAGCCAATGGCGTCGGAGGGCCTCAGAACCATCTGCCTTGCCTACAGAGATTTCCCCGCTGCTGACGGAGAGCCTCAGTGGGACGAGGAGGCCCACATCCTCACCAACCTCACCTGCATCGCCGTGGTTGGCATTGAAGACCCTGTACGACCTGAGGTAAGTTAGCCCTCTCTTTACACCGGGATGCATAGAGGCAACCAGCCAATCACAGTAGAACTACCAACAGTGTGAGTCACTACTCAGTTCAGTTCAATTCAGTTTTATTTGTATAGCGCCAATTCATAACAAAAGTAATCTCATGACACTTCAAATAGAGTTGGTCTAGACCTTACTCCCTATAAAATTACTCATAGAACATCTGAAGAGGAGCTCCTTTAAACACTGGTCCATTCTTATTTTAAGACTCTTTGATCTAAAAGTACTTTTCAGCCTTTTCTCTGGTAAAATAATGGCATGTTTGAATGTGTACATTAACTTGGAGGCTTGTTAATGATGTTAATGGTCGAGAACGAAACGGTTGCTTTTCTCTGCAAAATACTAAATGTATTAATATTATTTATTCAATCGTCTCAGGGTAAGAAACTCAGTCTGACTCCTATGTGTGCTGGTATTGGTAGAGGTCATGGATTCAGGGAATGGAGAAGAAGGGTTTTGGGAATACTTAATGACAAATATACAGTGTAGGATTTAAAGAGATCACATGCTTTCTCTGCAGAAACTGAGGTCCTCCACACCTCAAATTAAGAGGGTAAATGCTGCTTTGCAACAGTGATAATTCTCTTCTAGGGCAAAGAAAGTTTGTTGATCGCTCGTACAGCTCCTCAGATAATGTGCAAATTGATCCATCTCCTCAAACATCAGAGTGAGGTTAATCTGGCAAAACAAACTGCAGCCCACAGGTGGTTTGTGACCTCATTGCTGCATGTCAAGTATTGTACGTTACATGCAAGATTCTGCGCATTAATACCGGCTGTGTGATTGTCAGATTTACTGCTCTTTTACTTTGTGTGTAGATGTTTTCACGCTGCAGTGCTTTGCCATTATTTACTAACAGCCTGTTAAAATGACTCATTGGTAAATAGCGTTATGAGATGTAAGTTATTTATTTATTTTGCCATTATATTTTGGCGTATTTAACCATGTGCCTTTGCAGATGTCTGAAGGGTTGGATCACAGCTAACAATAAACCCCACAGGACCAACATTTCTTTGGACTTAAACAGCTTTAACACGTGTGTGAAGAAGCTGTCTGTATCGGTTTTTTGTTCTTTCCATCATATTGTTTCTTAATTTCTTCAGTGTTCTGTCATCTGTCTGGAGGCCTCTATAAACCTCAACATGTATCATTGTTGATGTTTCCGCTGGTGTTCTCATCAGGTACCAGAAGCCATCAGAAAGTGCCAGCGGGCTGGGATCACTGTCCGCATGGTTACCGGAGACAACATCAACACCGCCCGGGCCATCGCTACAAAATGTGGTATCCTGCAACCTGGAGACGACTTCCTGTGTATGGAGGGGAAAGAGTTCAACCGACGGATACACAACGAGCTGGGAGAGGTCAGACTGGACCAAAACACAGACCTCATTTTCATTTTCATGCCATTTGTGCCTCTAATGTACACTAGAGGGTTGAATATTTCTAAGTACCTGTAAAGGCAAGTAGTAGACTTATTTATGTATATTCTTTTTTTTCTCTGCAGATTGAGCAGGAGCGTATTGACAAGATTTGGCCAAAGCTGAGAGTCCTCGCCCGATCATCTCCAACGGATAAACATACCCTGGTCAAAGGTTAGGCACACTTTAACCAAGTCAAGAAGGGCAGAGGAAGACAGGAAGTTAGATAGACGTATGGGTGACAGATGGTATTGAGACAGGTAAAGCAATGGCAAATTCATTTTATCTTATCTTCATCTTATACAGGACAATCTACAGAAGGCAGTTTTACAGTGCTTTACATACATGTAAACATTAAAATGAATAAGATAGAGTGAAATAAAGAAAATGTGAGCACAAGTTTAAATTCAGATGCAACCCTGATATAAAATGAAAACAAGAGCCGGTCAGAGTTAATACACACCTTAGATCCTTATTTGGTCAGTAAGTGTGTCTTAGCTGTGTGTCTGTGTGTTGTCATCTCAGGTATCATTGACAGTACTGTGCTGGAGCAGAGGCAGGTTGTCGCTGTGACAGGCGATGGTACAAATGACGGTCCTGCCCTCAAGAAAGCGGACGTTGGCTTCGCCATGGTAACGATTGCTGCCTTATGTCATCAAACTGCTGCGCCTAGTTAACAGTTTTTGTAAACTAAACTTTGCCATTAGTGTAAAACAGTTAAAATAGTAAGCAGTACATACATGATAAAAAGTAACTTGTTCATATGAGTTGATCTGAAAAGACAATAAGTTGTGAACTTGTTTGTAAATGTATTAATATGTCATTAAATATTCAGATATATACGATTTATATTAAATGGCTACATTTTCAAGTTTAAAGAAATGAAACTTGAATCTAGATTAAAGTTAAACCTTCTGCTGTTTTCTGTTGTGGCCCCGTCCTCTCAGACCTTTTTTAAAATGTTTTTACCAGGTTCTAATCCAGAGCAGACAGGAGGTGAAAAGACAAACAATTGCTTATTCTAGCTTTATTGGTCTGTTATTATATATTATTTTGCTTTATTATTATATGTTATTATATTATACTATATGTTATAAGAACGGAAACCTAAACCTATCCTATGTAACCTTCCGCCTCTCTCTACTGCCTCGTATAACTCCACTCAGCTGATCTTTACCAATCAGAAATGTGTGAGGCGCATTTAGCTGATTACATCATGTCCTTCAGTCATCAGCGTCCTTCACATGTAGACTGATAGCAGACAAGTTCAGGAGAGTCCTGGACCCCCTGGTCTAAACCAAGACTCACGACCAGGTTCAGTTTCAGGTTTACCTAAGCTGACCTACATGCTGTGTTTTGCAGGGCATCGCAGGGACAGACGTGGCAAAGGAGGCGTCTGACATCATCCTGACTGACGATAACTTCACAAGCATTGTGAAGGCCGTGATGTGGGGCAGGAACGTCTATGATAGCATCTCCAAGTTCCTTCAGTTCCAGCTCACTGTCAATGTGGTCGCCGTCATCGTGGCCTTCACCGGAGCCTGCATCACCCAGGTCTGAGCCACCTAATACTGCTGCTGCCTACATAAGGGGTGGACACAATAACAGTAATGTTTGACAGTCTAACAGTCCAATCCAAGTGACAGTGGGGACTTTGTCAGATAAGTTTTGATTCATTCTGCTTACTTTGTTGATCAGCAGTACGTTTTATAAAACACAACTTGCCTTTTGAATGTTTTGATCCGCGATTTAGTTTTTACTGCACCAGGTGAGCCATGCATTAACTTGGAGGCTCGTTAATGATGTTGCATATCGAAAACGATACTGTTGCTTTTCTCTGCAAAATACAAAAACAAGTCCCTGACCGCGACACGCCCAAGTCAATCTATGTGTGTCAAAGGCTGAATAACCTTCCTGTGGAATAAAATAAATGTGTTAGCTGATCACCTCTTCTGATCGGCATTTATAGAGATTGCAGATCAAAGTAATTAGAGCAAATATTGTTCGATTACAACAAATGTATTTGAAAAATGAAACTCTATATTCAGAAGATCATTATTAGTCTAAAGATGTGTGAATTTATGATTTTTGAAGGAAATATCAAATGTGTTTTCATGTTTTAAATTGACACTAAACAGTTCAGAAACTCCAGGTTGATTGGTTTGTGGTTTCTCTGCTGGTTGATACTGACTGTAGATCTGTGTGTGTTTCCAGGACTCTCCTCTGAAAGCCGTGCAGATGTTGTGGGTCAACCTCATCATGGACACCTTTGCTTCGCTGGCTCTCGCCACCGAGCCACCGACCGAGGCACTGCTGCTCAGAGATCCATACGGCCGCAACAAGCCGCTCATTTCCCGGACCATGATGAAGAACATCCTGGGACATGCCATCTACCAGCTCACCACCATCTTCACCCTGCTCTTCGTTGGTCAGTGAACGCACCACAGTTTCATGGTCTGAAACAGACTTTGTGTTTGAGCCACAGATCCACATAATTCTGTATCTTAACACATCTTAATACAATTAGATGTGCTAAGATTGCTGTCCATTGAAATGCAGATGAGGATTAGCTAACGTCATGTTTCTGTGCATGTTTTAAAAAATTATTATACATATAAACATGAAAAACACAAATATACAGAAAAGGAAAACAGGAAAATGTAAAAATCACAATAGAAGATAGAGGGGCTTGAGAAGGGACATGAAAGTTGACACTAGAGCAGAGGCTTGAGTTCCTTCAGCAATGAGATCCATTAATATCAGGTATTATCCCTTACATATATATGCATTTCCCTCTACTATTATTAACATGTAGTACATAGTAGTTACTATTTATTTCTGTTTGCTTACCTTTGTTAAACTTTGTTGTCCTTGTTTTGGCTGTATTTCTGTGTATCTTCCTGAACATTGTTCTTGGAACTGTGTGTAAACACACTGAAAGTCAAATTCCCTGTATGTATAAATATACTTTTATACATACATTAAAATTAATTAAATCAGATATTAAGGGAATTAAGGGAATTATTAAGGTGCAAAAACCTTAATCATCCTCCTGATATCCCATTAACAATACTTTAATTCCATCACTATTAATGTGCACATAACTGGAATGTTGATGTAAAAGCATAGGAGAGATTGAGTTCATTTCTACACCTTCTCTCACAGGCGAGAAGCTATTTAACATCGACAGTGGCAGGAATGCCCCCCTCCATGCCCCGCCCTCTGAGCACTACACCATTGTGTTCAACACGTTCGTCTTGATGCAGATCTTTAACGAACTCAATGCTCGCAAGATTCATGGTGAGAGGAATGTGTTTGAAGGCATCTTCAAAAACCCCATCTTCTGCTCCATCATCCTGGGAACCCTCATCACACAGGTAATCTGTGAGAGCCGAGGTTACTGTCAAGCTCACAGTCTGAGGTGATAAAAGACAAACTTGTATGATGTCGTCTTTCTTTCGTCCTGTAGTTCCTCATCGTGCAGTTTGGTGGTAAACCGTTCAGCTGTGTGCGTCTGACTATCGAGCAGTGGCTGTGGTGTATCTTCCTGGGCTTTGGCAGCCTCCTGTGGGGACAGGTGAGACACATTTGACCATTATTTTGATAGACAGAAGACAGAACATTCGGTGAGAAAGAGGAGGGATGGTGATTACATGGTCAGCAAGGCTTTAGCATTGATTTTCAAAAAGTAGGGGCAGCAGGGGTCAGTGAGTCAGGGTTTACATTTACAGATCAACTTCAATCACCGTCATCACACAAGAAACTGGCTGTAACCCTTCAGGTGGCCTCAGTAACATTTTCAAGCCACAGAAGTGTTGAGGAACAGGAAATGCTGCTGCTTTGTCTGACAGCGGTCTAATAATTGTGTTGATCCCCCTCTCAGCTGGTGTCCAGTATCCCCACTAGCTGGCTGAGGTTCCTGAAGACAGCCGGTCACGGCACCAAGCAGGACGAGATCTCTGAGGATGAGCTGGAGGAGATGAAGGACATGAATGAGATTGACCACGCTGAAATGGAGCTGAAGAGGGGCCAAGTGCTCTGGTGCCGCGGCCTCAACCGCATCCAGACGCAGGTATGGTTTCACCTTTAAAGGAAAATTCCAACTGGGTCCTATTCTCATGACAGTGTCCAGTCTGAACTGTGGGTTATCGTAACTCTGGACTCTTCACTGAAGAGATTCAGGAAATGTAACAACGTACATTGAGACAGCAGCTGGAGGTTTCCAGATAAACTTCAGTTTTACATAAAACATTTTGAATAGTTGTTTCTGAGACCAAACACAAGTAAACAGGGAGTTCAGGAGGAAATGTTGTTTTATTAGTGCTGCTTTGTCTTATATGTGTTTATATCAGATATTATTATTCTACCGCCACTGAGGTTCCCTCGAGCAAGGCCCTTAACCCCAGCCGCTGTAGTGGAGCTGCATAGTCAGATCCATAGTTGAGAATAAAACCCAGGTAGTAAAACCACCAGAACTTTCCTCCGCCATTAAACCCTAAGTTGACTGTTTCCCTTCGTCTTTCAGATTCGTGTAGTGAACGCCTTCAGAGACAGCGTCTCTCCCTACGAAGGTCTGGAGACGCCCGAGTCCCGCAGCTCCATCCACAACTTCATGAGCCACCCTGAGTTCCGCATCGAGGACTCTGAGCCTCAGATACCCCTTATTGATGAGGTAGAAGGCGAGGACGAGGCCCCCACCAAACGCAACTCCATTGTCATCCCACCACCGCTAACTGGATTGTCCCACCTGCCGCCTCTCCCGTCCTCCCTCAATCAGAACAACAGCACCCTGGACCGCATTGTCCCACTGCACAAGGACGCCTCCAGGTCCGGTCTAATCCCGCCCAACTCAGCAGGTTTGCCGCCATGTCCGGGGAGCCCCCTGCACAGCCTGGAGACCTCACTCTGAAGCCCCACCCCCTGACCTGACCACCTTTTGTTACTGTTGGTCTGCTCTTACTGTTTGTTACGGTAAGAGTTCTGGTTCTTCTGAGAGCCAAGGAATGAAAAAAAAAACATTTTAAAAACAGACTTGTCTGATTGGTTCTCGTCAGGAGTTCACCTGCTGGTTTTTAGGATCCAGGAAGCAGAGATGTTTCCAGGCGTGTTTGTGGTTGTGAGCTGAGCGGCGGTGGCAGGTTCACAGACTTATGTTTCCTTCTTTACTTTAATAGACATGAACTCTGCAGTTGTTATTTAGGAGAAAGAGTGTTTGTGAGGTGGTCGATCAATAATCAGTTTCTGATGTGTAAATATTCATGTTGATGTTCAGAGGTAGTCAGAGCTCGTTTTCATCTGCATCCTGTCAGTTTGTCAGCAACCAAACTGATGACAGGTGACGGTGGCGAGTTCGGGTTAGTTTTATGTCAAGGTTTAACTTTAAGGATCTGTGACTGAAATGTAGTAAATGTCTAACGTTGGATTTTATTCTAGTGTTTTTGTAAAAAAATGTTTTAGGTTGTTGTTGTTTCAAAAGATGTAAATCTGAAAGTTATTAAAAGTTTAAAAAAACAACTTCCAGAGCAGGATCTTTGTGACCCACCTTCACATGGGATAGAAGAAGAAATTCCTTTTGTCCTTTATATCAAATGTATAAATAACTCTTTAAAGGCATCTTCACCTTCAGAAGATTAACAAGAAGTCAACTGTCTACTGACGGTTTCTGTGGAGAGTTAGAAAAACAGGGTTCCACGCGTCCTGGAAAGACTTGTTTTGCAGTCATGGAAACTCCTGGAAATGTATTAAAATGACCAAATATCCTGGAACTAATCAAGATTGTCTAGAAATTGTTTTATTTTTTTATTTTAACCCCTCACTCAGATCGCCTACGTAGACCTAGGTTAGAGGAAAACTACTGACCTGTAGTGAAATCCCCTGACCACCGACCTGTAATGAACGTTCCTCATGATTCCTGCATCATTAAATAAAGAGGAATAGAACTGGGGAAGATGTTACAATACGAGGCCTACAGATTAGTTATATGACCGTCTGTGAGAAAGTGCTGTCCTGTATGGTCAGCAAAACTCCTGGAAAAGAGTGGGAACCCTGAAGCAGCTTCACTGTGACCTGCTGAAGCTCCGCCTCCTTCATAATGCATTTACAACATAATTCATTACTCCCGTTTCAGGCTTTGACTTATTAATACATAATACTTCCCTCTTCTCATTTCTCAGTTCGTACATCCTCAGTTCCTTTCCTCACCTCCTGCCCTCGAATCTGAGAGGAGACACAAGGAGAAAGGAGAGAAAGGAACAGGCATTTAACTAAATGACACATCCTTTCATCTTTGGGGACCTACATGTGACATTTTATTGACCAAACGAAAAAATGATTGGCAGGTTATGTTTAAACTAGTTTCAGCCCTTTTTAATCAAATCATATTCTATTCTTTCTGTTTTGTATTGTATAATTCCTTTCATGCAGCCCCAGACCTGCACAAGCTCCTCCTGGATACAAATCACTGGCCTGAAGCACTGTTTCTCATCAAGGCATCTGTGGACCTCTAGTGGTGTGTGTCAGTATTACAGGGGTCTGTGGAACATTTGATTAATAGGCCTGTGTGTGTATGTATGACTTTTTTTTGGACATTAGACATATATGAATACATGTATTTTGCTTATTAAAATGATCATTATTAGATTACAAATGGCACTGCGTCTGACACTCAAGACACAGACTGACAGTGGTTAGAAAAGCCTGAGCCGACACTTTTCGAATTGTGTCCTACTTCTCCATGTCAACCGGGAAAAGTTCACATACTGTTTAGATAAGACTGACAGCTCCCAGAGGTGTCTAAAAGGACCTTGTGGTGGGATTGTCAACCTTGTCAGGCTTGTTTCTGTGTGACAGAAAATGTCCTCTTAGCTTTCATGTATAATTTCTATTGTACATTTAAAGCTGTTTTGATTTCTTGCTGTATTACAGAAGAGTATGGGTAAACCTGTATCACATGCTCTCCACTGTTTTCCGTCTACACCTTCACCTGCCACTTTGCCTGCCAGCAAAAAACGTCCTTTTTCTACTTCTGTTAGGCAACTACTTTCTTTCTTTTGTGAATTGTATTCTTTGTTTCTTTAGTCTATCCCTAATGAATAGCTTTGATTCATTCATTGATTTTCACTTACTAATAAACCTTTGAAAGAAAGAACAATCCCCAGACTAAAAAAGGTCATATTTGACTAACTAATTACACTTTATGATAAACGTTTTCTTTTCCATGGATGTTGCTGTAAAGCAGTTATGTATTCATCTTTTTTAAGGCCATATTATTATTTTATGTATTATTTGTTCACGTGAAAGTTAATTTTTAATTATTTTATTAGAAACAAACTTTAAATCGGATTCAAAACCGGTTTAAACCAACCCGGAAACTACTCTGTGGACTACAACCCCCACAACTCCTCGTCATACACCTCGTCATACACCTCCAACCAATGGCTGAGTGCGTCTGAATCACGTGAGCAGCAGCGCAGCAGATTTGAATTGTGTGTGTGGATGTGTGTGTGCAGTTTGAATGCGAAGCACTGAGCTAAAAGAAGAGTAGAGAGTTTTCAGAGGAACCTGAGGTTTGTAGTTTTTACTTGAACTAAGCAGTGAGTCCCGCGAGCCGCTGCATGAGACAAAGTTCATGTTTAAATTCACTTTAAAGCTCCGTTCACATTGAAGCTACCGGTTAGAGAGTTAGCTAATGGGCTAGCAGGGTAACGTTAACGTTAGCATGACGTTTAACGTTCAACTCTCCGGTGTTTGTGAAAATATTTCATTATAGTTGAATGTGTGGTTGTGCCGCTGCAGGTCTAATCCGGATCCATCTGTAACCCACAGAGAGCAAGCAGCAGCGGGATGGACTGTCGACCTAACAGCGGTGCGTTCACACTCACTGACCCTGAGTCAGCGTTTAGACACAGTTAACGCCACCGTCGTGTGTTTTATTAACTGTTTATGAACCACCTTTGTGTCTCTGAACAGATCTGTTCTTTCTGCCTGATGAGAAGTTTGACTTCGATGTTTCTCTGTCACCTGCCAGGTAGGAAACCCATGACGGGTTCTGGTGAGCTCAGTTTTAGGTAGTGGGGAGGTGTTATCAGGAGCAGACTCACCAGTACTCCTACTGATACAGATACGTGTTGGTCTTGTGAACTGTCATGTCAGCGTTAAAACTTATCAGGTGAAAGCACCATTAACAGCTGCTGAATGCATTTTCATTCAGAACTCTCTCTATTTACAAACCCTGTTTGGGCCCAGCCACTTTGAGCTTGTCTTTTAGTATCCTTTGGGCTCTGTGCGTGGGTACCAATGATGTTCTGGGTGGTGCAGAGCCCACCAGTCCTGGGCCATGTACAAGAGAGGAGCCGATCAACATGTTAATACTCATCATGAGTCTCCTTCAGTCACTACTCACAGTGATAAGGTCTGGTTTGTTTTTCAAAATTCAATTAACATTTAAATAAATTATTTCCACGGTGCTCCTCCTCCTCACTGCTCTACCTGTGGCAGACTGGGGCTGTGAGTGGCACTGTGTATATTTTGGATTGAAAAGTTGGTTTCGGGAAAAACTTTTTATCATTACACACAGACAGTAGACATCTGTCAAGATAAAACATGTGAAAAACTCCCTTAAATGTCTGAAATGGAGCTAAATCATGAAAGTAAACATGGTTGTATAGTGAATAAGTGATATAGAGCTTTAGCCTACACCACATTTCTCTTACATTATGATCAATAGCAGTTTGTTTTGGACTGTCAAAATGCTGACATCTGCTGGTGAACTACTGGTACTACATTAACTGTAAAACTTCATGACTGATCTCATCTTTTTTGGTTTAACAAACATTATTTTAAAAACATTTACATCTTCAAACTGTAAAAGCTGAGCTCAGTTTGGGAGCTTTCGCCTTCTTCCTCCTTGAGTTTTAGCTCTCTCACACCACTTCTGAGCTGTGTGTGTGTGTGTGTGTGTGTGTGTGTGTGTTCCTGTCATCTCTGATGTCTATGTCTCTCCGCTCTGCAGCTCCAAAGGTGACGAAGATGAGGATGAGGTGTTCGTGGGTCCGGTCAGCCACGAGGAGAAGTGTGTCTCTGTCAACGTGGCGTCTCGGCTTGAGGACAGCAATGGTGGCACGCGGGCCAGCTGGAGTCCGCTGACCGGAGATCAGCTGGAGGCGGTGTGTGAGGAAGCCCACAGACTGGCCGACCAGCTACAGAGCAGCGAACTGAGCCTGGCACACAGCGAGGATGATAAGGTCACCAACATGTCCACTGACACCACAACCGGCAGGGAGGAGTTTGTGCAGGACTCTGAGGCCAAACTGGGTGTGCTCGGTCAGAGCGCCAATACGCTCAGCCCCATCAAACGCCAGACCTTCTGTGTGCAGGACAGTCCCATGAAGCAGCTGCCACCCGCTGTCCAGCGCAGCCTGCTGAGAGGAAGCAGCTCCAAAGCAGCGCCATCCAACCGCCCTGCCAACGCACCTTTATCCACCCGGCACGCCTCTGCCAACACAAATTCATTCACCCGCCCAGCTGCCAGACTCAGCACCTCCAGCCCTCTGACCAGGGCCAAGGCTCAGGTCAGGACAGGACTGCGAGGGAAAGCCACACTGGGTGTCGTACTGCCGAGCAAACCGGCTGCCCCAACAGCTTCCTGTTCAGCCAGCAAGAGCAGAGTGGAGAAACCCAGACTGCAACCACCGAGCAAAGTATTTATTTATCTTTTACTTTTCAATTATTAGGTGAAACATTTAGTTTATAAAACACCCCAAAATTTGTCAAAGGTAGTCTGCTGTCAGCCTCCTGTCCTCAACAGGAACTCAACAACTTGGAAACTTGTTCTTCCCAGAACCTGAGCTTACAGAACCTTGTGAGTCTTTGGTACAAGGTGCTGATTTTAAAATGATCACCACCTGGGAATATGTCACTCTTTTCCCACATTTTAAACGTTTTGGACTTTAAACACAACCAAGCTATAAATAATTAAAAGAAAGAATTATTCTATTCTTTAGTTTTTGTGGCAGTGGAGCAACATATCCTCTTAGAAGTTCACCTCAAAGATGGTGTCTTTGTATCAGTTCAGGTCATTACCAGCTAACCGGTACATGCACACTAACAAACATCAGGCTCCCACAGGTATTTTTCCTGAGAAACAGGAGGAGATTTTGGAATACTGGGGTCTGCGTTCCCTCTATTCAACCCTAATATAACACAGCCACAGAGTGTGAGGTGACAGAGGAATCCCACAGCCATAAATTGCATGTTGTCTAGAGAAAGCTCTAGAAAAAGCCAGAAAGTGGCCCTTGAGTAAAGGTTTTATGTGTGTGAGGGTACAGATTGTGTTTTAGAACTCTGACCCCTCAGAGTTTATCTGGTGATCCACAACAGGGCTCCCGACCCCCAGTTTGGATACCCCTGTGTTAATAGATGAATGAAGATATGGTGATGCCACCTGCTGGTTCTTTTCTTTCTCCTGTTTCAGGCGGTAGGGAGTTGGAAACGGAGCCCGGCCTCTCGCCCCTCCAGCAGGGCCGAGTCATGCGAGGATCTGCTTTCTGATTCAGCGAGCGTGGCGTCTGACATCAGCGACTCCTCCTTCAACTCCAGCTTGCTAGGAAAACGCATGCTGGCTCCGCCCACCAAGGTAACACACCTTTTCACCTTGTCTGGTTTCAATATCATGGAAATCTGGTCGAACTGCAACCGTCAGACAGAGTCAGCCAGACACTTTATTTCTATGATCATAGACATCCTGACATATTGTGAAAATAACTGATTATTGATTTGTTTTCTCCATCAGAGGAACGTGTCAGGTGTGAAAGCTCCGCCCCTTCAGAGCAGGAGGATGACGGACAGGAAGAACACATCCTCATCCTCGTCCTCAGTGTCCAGCTTCAACTCCAGCATGTCTCTGTCCCCCGCTAAAGGTACGCTAACAGCTAACTGTCACCTGCTAAGCCTGTATGGTCAGCGTGACATTTACGACTAACAATTATCCGTCCTGTATGCTGCAAACAAACACACGGAGGATTAGTGGCATGTAGCGCTTCACACTCCAAGCACCAAGGGCAAACTACGGCGGCTGCAAAATGGGCAAAAAGAGTTTGGTTTGTCCGTTTTGGGCTACTGTAGAAACAAGCCGGCCCGCAGTGTAGATATGAAAGGCTCATTCTGAGGATGGACGATTCATGATTCTCATTTTCAGGTGATAATATGACAATATACCTGTGACGCTCAGGACAGAGCTGATTTAGCTGTGTTTAACAGTGCGCTGCTTCTAACTGGATGAAGTGTTGTCTCCTCTCAGGTAAACTGAACTCTTCTTTGAACCGGAGTCTGAGCAGCTCCACTGGCCCCGCTCCCAGCAGCATCAGCAGACCAGCAAATCAAAGCAGGCCCCGCCGCTCCGCCATTTATGCCACAGCAGCGCCGGCGCCCTCCACCACCGGCCGCCGCTCACTGTCCGCCCAGACCAGGAAGCTGCCCGAGGTGGAACGTGTCAAAGCCACAAGGTCCACGCCACTGAAGAGAGCTGACACCACGCCCCTCCAGCAGACGCCTGCCAAGAGAGTTTTGGAGAGGACTGCATCGATCCCCACCGCCGCCTCAGCCCGGCCACAGAGCGGATTGAAGACCAAATCCAAACCGGAGGCCCTGGTCCCCCCAACACCCATTGGAGGAGTCAAAGGAGACCCCCATGGAGACGGTGAGAGACGCTGAGGATGTCAGAGCCATTTGGTTTATTCAGTCATGAGATAAGTTTCCGCTTTGTTTTATCCTGGAGTTTGTTCAGAAAACTGATATTCAGTTTGGATTCTTTCAATCAAAAACTTATTCGAGACACAAAAATATGACTTCTGTTCCTGAAGCCTGAACTCTGCTACAGCAGCGGATCATCAGCCGAACCACAAACCTCTCTGCCTATTATTCTCAGGGGCCCACTATTTTGCATCAGTCTCTCAATTTCATTTGCTGATTACCAAGAGTAGAGCTTAAATTAGACCACACAGAGGTCATTAATAATAATAATAATAATATTGAATTTTATTTTTATGTTTTAGCTGGTCTGGTCTTTACCTTCAGGACTGAACTCATGCGTTTTAATTTCAATCTTTTGGTTCCAACAAAATTAGGACTGTTTCTGTGTTTAATTCTCTGATACACCTGTCTGTCTCTCACTTTGTCTGTCTGTCTGTCTTTGTGTTTTGTCTCCAGATGTCTCAAAGATGTTGAAGCCAAAGAGGTTGATGTCAGCGAGCTGCATAGACAGGTAGATGACATCACACTGCCTCATTGTTATTTACAGTTACATCATTCATGTTTATGTAATACCGAAGATTTACTCACACTGCTGAGATTGTCAATAAACACCTTCCTCTCCTGCAGTCTTCCTCAGAAGCCCTGTGTTGGTCCTCTGACGCCTTCTTCTGGCAGCTGCAACTCGCTGCAGGTGAAGGCACGGCGTCCCTCGGCCCTCCCCACCCCAGTGAGGCGCAGGATGTCTGCCATCCCTGTTGCCACACCCACCAACCAGACCCGGTCCACGAGACCGCCACCCACCCCTGAATCTGACCCCGCCCCCAGCACCACCTCGGCCAGCAGAGAGAGAAGCTGCAGGTGAAATGCTTCAAACGGCTGTCGACCAATAGGAATGCTGCCCTGACCTATTGCAGCATGTCACCTGCCTGTTACCACAGCAACACACACAGGGGTCTCACTTAATCATTTATCACTGTGTTGTTGTTTTTGCGTAGCCCCACCCCGGCCCGCATACAGGAGGCGGAACCTGTTGATGCCCCCGACATCCAGCCCTTCTGTCTGGAGGAAGAGGAGCCCCCTGCTGCCCTGCCCGCCAGCCCTCCACAGTCCCACCAGTCAGAGAGCATGGATCTTGGAGCACAGAACAAGGGTGAATTAGAGCCCGCCAAAAACCTGATCGAACTGGAGACTACGGAGAGCAACAGCAAGACACAGGAGGTCAGGCCACACACACACATACACACACATAAACACACCCCAGTTGTTGACTGATCCTGGATCCACTTTGGCTCTGATGCAGCCGCCGCTCTCTGTCTGTACTCACCACTCTGTAGTCTCGCTCACTGTCTTACCCACAGCACTGTCTGGTTGGTTACACGTCATGAGTAATAATAGAGTAATAGTGGGTTTGCAGCATTTAATTAAACATAATTACGTATAATGATAATTACGTGGCCGCAAAGTGCACATAAATGCGAACGTCGCTCTGTTCTCTCCTCAGGTTCTCCTGTTGGATCTTCCAGCTCCGACTCTGCAGCCTCAAGAGAAACTTCTCATCGACTTGACCAACACCCCCGACCTTATCCGGACCGCCAACAAGACCTGCACCACATCCCAGGTAACTGACACCTCACCTGGTTATATCCTCAAACTGAAAGCAGAGTATTTTATATTTGTATTAAAACATATCTGAAGGACGGCCTTTAAATGAGAACTTGTTTGTTTTCATTGGTTTCAGCAGCTGATCGACCTGACCTCTCCGCTCATCAAGTGGAGCCCAGAAGACAAGAGGGAGAACAACGCCCCACTCATCAACCTGTCCTTCTGATCCAGATCCTCCTAAAGACGTGGATCTGATAGTATCTTCACTAAACTGGACTCCTCTGTCTTCAGAAACTCAAATCCAGTTAACGTCAGAGTTTTAATCAGTTATCTTTACTGAAGCAGAGTATTATGTTTTAAATGATGAAAATATTCAAAGGTTGCTGAAGTTTTTCTGCACCTGATTGTAATTTTATTTGTCTCCGTCTTGCTGCTCTTATTGATGTCTGAATAAATGTTGTTTATGTCACTACTGTAAACGTTCCTGCTCCTGTGTCAAGTTGCAGTTTAGATCCATGTCTGTCCAGAGTCAGACTCATGTAATATATGTAGTAAAGACTGAACGGATTTAATAAAATGTATTAAGTGCATTTTTTTGGGAAGATGGAGGTTGTCACTTTATTTTATTTTTTTCTATTCTATCTATTTGGGCTTTTATTGCCTTTTAATTGATAGTGACAGCTGAAGAGTGGGAGGGGGGAAAGAGGGCACGCAGCAAAGGATTCAAACCCAGCGTTGGAGCAAGGACTCAGTCCTGGTACACAGGGCGCCCGCTCTTCCAGGAGAGCTAACCGAGCACCCCAAGTTGTCACTTACTGATATATATGTCTGATTCCAGTAACTAATTTCCACAAAGAAACATGCTGTCTTCACTTGGAGACTATTTTTTTTTACAGAGGCCTCAGAGCAATGACAACTGAATCATCTGCTTGTGGTGGACTACTGCTGTCCAAAGTGTCATATTCTACCTTTTGCTTGCCCAATGAAGTGCTTTCCATGACAGCAGACAATGCTTCAGATATGGATGTTGTTGCAAAGAAGCTACAAACTCTAAACAAGGATGCTTCACACACTTGGCTGCTGTTTCAAGGTGGGGATCCAAGATTAATGTCACCCATTCAGTATCTGACCAAATGTGAAATATTGTCAGTCTCTCCTTCCTGAGGAGTTCCTGAGCTGTGGCGTTATAATAATGGCAGAAAATTTGTTTTTGCACAATTATCATGATGCCACAGTGAAGCTGAACTTTGACCTGAAATGTCATCATTTTATCTTATTAGAAATTATGAAATTGTCATAATTTGCATATAAATCATTGACTGATGGCCAAAAATGTGTAATGTGAGGTCCCAGGGACCTGCACCTTGACCTTTGACCACCAGATTCTGAGCAGTTCATCCTTGGACGTTCCTGAGCTATCAAGGGACAGAAAACTGGAAAGTGCCTTTATCTTAAAACATGAGTGCCAAAGTGTCAGCTGCCTGTTTCTCAGAAGTGCAATCACATAACAAATATGTGCTTGGAAGATTTCAGTGTTGTTTACATGCAGTCAGAACCAGATGATTTTACTTTAAATTTGTATGTTACTTTAAATACTTTGTATTTTGTCTAAAAATGACTTTTTAAATTTTTTGATATTCATTTTTTGAAATTATTTTCTGAAAAGAAAATCAGTCCAACTAATCTGGTTTATCCATCATGCATCAGGCAGTACAGGATCCATCATTCAGCAGGTGTCCGGAGGGCCATCAGTCTCACAAGGTCACATAAAGGTTTTCCAGAAATTCTTTTGCCACCTCAAGCAGATTTTTTTTAGGGTGGGAATCGTCCGTATGTTTTCAAGGCAATGTGCATCTTATCACTGAGCAAAGCGGTGTTTTTTTCAGGAGTTAACTGACGGCTATAAACAGCGACTGCAGCAGGAGCCAGGTGTTAACACTGTACACCTGCAGACTGGTGACATGGCTTTCTCACAGAGCGTGCTCGGTCTCCTCGTCCTCCTTGTGGTCTGTGACCGCTCCTGGGCAGAAGAGAAGGTGAGGACGTGTGTTATATCTTTGTGTTAACATTTTATAAAGGACAAGATTCACAGATTTACATTTATTGGTAATCTTCTTTAGTCTTGTTTTTGCTGCGTGACGACAGGGTGATTCTGTTCTTCGTTTAATATCTTTGTAAATGCATTTGAAATCCTGATCCAAATCCAAAGGACACTAAACAATTCATGCTATATTAAATTAAGGGAATGTGGATAATATGATGCACAAATTATGTAGGGAAGATTCAAGAAAAATGTAATTTAAAGGTATCATAATAATATCAGATTCCAAGAAGACTTATTACAGATATATTACATATTCAATGATATAACATGCAAGTAGAACCACTTAGAAAGCCACTGCAGTGCATTGGATCCTCCTGATGTTAATGCAGACATACACAGCTCCAGCCATACATCCATACAGGAGGAGAGTGTGACCTATGTTAGAACCATACAAATAGACAGCAGACTGCATACTACTCTACATAACTACATTTAACTAACAGTGACATCATCTCCCTGATCTAGGATCTGTCTGTCTCTGAGCTCCTCTGGAAGGCAAACAAGGATGTTGGTAAGACTCCATGCATGTTCACATTTATTTTTATATATTTTTATGAGACAGGGGGAACAGTGTACACTAATAAACATTGCTGTAAATTGAATCTGTAGCTCCTGTACACGTTACAAACTCATCCTGACAAATAATATAAGAAATGACAAACTATTGAAATCATTTATGATCATGCAGAACATTAATAAACAAGCAAAGTGGAAGTGTACAGTACAGAGACATAAAAGCACCAGTGGTGGAATATACAACTGTATATAAAATAGTCAAAACTAGCTCCACCTCAACCAGCTGTGAAATGCTGCCAGAATACCAGGAACAGGGGCAAATTTACTTTTAATACTAAATAAAAAATGTATTTAGCTGATTATACTTTTACTGAAGAAGGATTTTGAACACAGGACTTTTACTTTTATTCTGTTACGTATAAAAGTCTTTCAAGTTCTTTGACATTGTGGTATTTTTACTTAAGATCTGAGGACTTCTACCACCACTGACAAACACACACACAGTAAATGAAATCCTGAAAAACACTCAATACTGGCACAATAACAGACATGCATAAGGACTAACATGGTCATAGCAGGATAGCTATAGATTATAATGCCAGAAGAACACGCCTGTCCTCCTTCTGTTTTGTATGGTTTGGACCTTTTTGTTCCAAATCTTCATTCACAGTTATTTTAGACATTAGTTTGAGGATTCGTCTGTTGGTTCTGGACCTGATACATCCAGATATCCTGTTGGTGGCGAAGTACTGAGTTTTTCACTTTACCCAAGGATAAAGTTAGTAAGACACTCTTGATGGACCACTACAACCTGCAAGTCAAAGGTCACATGACCAATGTGGGCAGCATGACAATCTGGCAGGCAATCTAATCTGTTGGTTTTACAATGGCAGCCAACGGATCACACTGACTGTGGGTTTGAGGAAATGGTTCAATGGACACATTTCACCGATTATAAAAAAAAAAAGTTGCTTGTTGCCTAATAAAGTAAAAACAGATTTAAAGCTTTATCTTAGTCAAACTTTCTAGTAATACACTGATATAGTTTTAAAGGGAGATTAACTCATTTATATGGTCGAATAACTGATTGAGCCTTTATTGTCCTCCTCCAACAGTGCGTAGGGAGGACGAGCCCTTCGTCCTTGATGACATTGCTTATGACAATGAAAATGAGAGAAACGCTGATCCCTGCACCTCCAGCGGCTGCATGTGGGGCAAATCCTCCGATGGAAAGGTCTATGTGCCCTATGTCATCGCCTCACATTTCTGTAAGTGACTGTATTTAAAACAGTTGACCAAAAGATTGGATTTAATGTTGAGCTATAACGTAGGATCTAATTTACTTAATGTTTCAAATAAAATCAACTAGTGTAAATTTACAGCTTTCATTATGACGCTATTTGGAAAAAAAAACTTTTGGTTGGAGTTCAAATCTGTGTTATAGTTTAATTGTTGTTGGATCTCAGGTTATCACAAATTTGGTTATTTCCTTTATTACTTATTTTTCAAACCAGCAGCTTTCTCTGATCAAATTGTTAGATCAAGTAAGCATCCCAGTACAAGTTTATGTTCAACCGACAACGCCCTCTAGTGGCTGTAGGCATTATGCCGGGAACAAAGGAGCAGTTCAGATGATGTCGAGGTTGAGGGGGATGAACAGATCAACAAAACGTCGACATGACTGACAGTCAATGCTATTTCTTTTGTTAACACCATGATCACTGTCATTCCCTAACTAGTGTTTATTATTGTAACCATGATGACAAAAGTCCCCTAAGTTGACAGATTGACAAATCCATCTGTCCGTTCTAGATGGATTTTAAATTAAACCAGTAGGACGACGCTTTTTCTGAACAAGCTTACTTCATCAATGGTTTTATTTTGAAGGAGGATGTTGCTTCAGAGAAAACCCCATATATTTTTGGACTCGGTCGAGACCAGTTAGAATATTAGGTGAGACCAATGGCGCAGTCAGAGACAAGTCAGAGTAAAAGTACCAGTGAGTCCAAGACAAATTTGAGCACTGCCCCTAACTTAAATGAAGTAGTAATTTCAACTCAGTACCATTATGTTGTCCTAACCTTATCAAAGTACTTATTTTAACCCAAACCAATATCTTTCCCTAAACCTAACCAAATCAGCTTCTCGTGAGCGCTCCATCATCGAGCGTGGGCTGCTGTCCTTCCACGATGTCTCTTGCATCCGCTTCGTCCAACGCACCAACCAGAGAGACTATCTGAGCATCAAGTCCGACAATGGGTAACAAACTGTGTGTCTGTGTGTGTGTGTAAACTACATGCAGCGCATTAACTCAAACCTCTGCTTGTGTATGACAAAATAATGGATCATTAAAATCTGCTATCAGTGATTAAATCTTTAATTGAAAGTTGCCCTTAAGTTGCCCTTGACTTACATTTCTCTTAGAGTTCCCTTTCCCTTGAGAGTGCACATAGCTGCTCAAAATTCAAATATGTGTTTGTGCATTATTTCATCCAATCCACCCCATTTTTTATCTAATTGTATGAATGCAGCTGTTACTCCTACGTCGGCCGCCGTGGTTATTCCCAGACTGTGTCTCTGGACCGTCAGGGCTGCCTCTATCACAGCACCGTCCAGCACGAGCTGCTCCACGCCCTCGGCTTCAACCACGAACAGTGCCGCTCTGACAGGGACCAGCACATCCGGGTCCTGTGGGAGAACATCCAGCCCGGTCTGTACTTCGGCCTCCACACACATTACAGCATTAAAATGATCATTAATCTGGGGCTGCAAGTAATTCATATTTTAGTTATTAATTCATCTGGTGATTATTTTGTCAATTAATGGGATTATCACTGACGATCGATCCAAAGTGCAAAGATCTGAACAGACACACTAAAAGACAGTTTACCGAATGCTTGTCATTTTCTGTCTTTTCTGACCCTTTGTCCTGATTGTATTCTCTCAGGTTTGGCGTATGCCTTCGACAAGATCAACACTCTGAACCTGAACACTCCCTACGACTACAACTCTGTCATGCAGTACCACAGGTTGAAAGGCTACCATTCATCTCTTTATTCAGATAAACATAAATCATATATCTTTGTTCCCTCATTTTTGAAAGTACCTTTAAATAAGGGACTGTATGAAAATGTTTGCTAAAGAGGGCGGCTGAATCTTATATTTAATTTAATAAAATATTTTAACTTAATAATATTACATTATTGCGGCACATCTGTAAAGAATTTAACAGAAATATCTAAAGGTGGCATTAGAAATAATAAAAAATTCTGCTTTTTTTAACATCTTATTTTTATTTATCTGAATTATTCTGTAAAATTTGACAGTGTTTGCCACCAAATTGTAGTGGCCAGGTATTTTATAGCAGTGGCAGCTGCCACCCCTCTAGTTCCACCCCTGTCAGGCATATTGGAGATATTTTTCCCAGACAGCTTCCAAAGAGTTGGTTTTTGTAACGTCAGTGAGTGACCCTTTGAACAATAAACTAATAGTTTCTATTTTATATACAAACCAAAAACAATTCATCCTCTGTACTCGTTATAATTGCAGGTATGCATTCTCCGCGAACAATAAGCCCACAATGGTGCCTATCCCCAACGCGAATGTCGAGTTTGGCACGGCCCAACAGATGAGCAGGAATGACATCACCAGACTGAACAGTCTGTACAGATGTTAAACCGTAAGAGAACACACATTGGGTTTGTCTGTATGCTATACTTCTGTTGCTGTGAGTGTTTCCTCTATGAATCTAATTTATGGTTTGGAGAGACCCATAAGAAAATGTGTGTTTGTCGCCTTTAACGTGTTTCTGTTTCTTTTTCCAACAGGTGATGAAAACAACGCTGACAACATGGAGCCACCTGACACATCAAACTTGCTGTTTAAAATTCTGACAATGTTTTTCTCACTTTTTAATACAATCTAAGACATTGTATTGAAAATAAACCTTCAAATATTGAAACCTTGTTTGTTTGACACTGTTGTACCAAATGTTCCTAAATTCAGAGTTGAACCAGTTTACAATGACAGTAATTGGCAGCTTGTATCACAGATATATTGTTAAGCTGGATCCTCATCACCTACATATTGAGGTCCAGGTCTTCTTGCACCAACTGATTGAATTGGCTTACATGTATCCCAGGGGGGTTTTCCTCCCTCCCTCTCATAATGGCAGTGGTGTTTGGAGGTGGCAGCAGACCATTACCATCTGTGTGGTTAGATACCTCTCAAAATATACTGCTGTAACATCAGCTGACAACAGCTTCAGTTCAGTTTAAAGCTGTCTGATGCTGTACGATAACATATCACATAATAACATGTTAGATTAGAGCTGATGTTCTTTATTGTGCCCAAAGGGAAATGAATTCAGCTCAGGCCAGTGTCATACTAATAGACAAACAATAATAAATCAATCTGCAGTCTTACTTGCTTTCTTTACCATCTTCTGGTCATGTAGGATCTGCAGGGTTGAGCGCTGCTTTCCACAGAGCTTAGACCCCAAGGTGATCACCCTCCCAAGTTTGACCTTTGTCTTCCTCACAAAGTGCTCCTTGCACCACTGGTACATCTTCTCCGCTTCCTCCTCAAAATGGGTGGGGCTGTCAGAGTGTCAACCAATGCAGTGTCATCTGCAAACATCACAGGCCATGCATACACTATCCTCAGTGTGTTACGAATAACATTAACTGCTGCTCCTGTCAAGTGTCCCAGTAAACCTTGACAGTGTGACAGTGAGCCAGAATGCACGACACCAAGACCATGAAACTAAAGCAGCTAAATGGAATTCAGCCATCAATGTTTAGTATTTACACCTGTGTCTGCTGTAATAAAGGCCTACTGGAGGGACAGCTTAATATTTTGTCCTTATGACTGCCTACAAAGGTGGAAGTAACTAATTACAACTACTTATGGTATTGTAATTAAATACATTTTTTTAAGCCTTTAATTTTACTCTTTTAGTAAGTATGCATTACACTATGTCTATCAACAACCCCATTCCCAATGAAGTTGGGATGTTGTGTAAAACGTAAATAAAAAC